GCCATTTTTTGCTAGAGGTGTGGGCTGTTTACGGCCGTGCGTAATGACACATGGTCCCTATAGACAACAAACGGTCTATCTCCAAGAGATAGACCCGGAACTTAGCCAGTGCGTACTTCAAGGCAAATAGTTCCTTGTCATGCACTGGGCAATTGAGCTCAGCTGCTTGCAGCTGACGCGACTGATAACAGATGACGCGCTCCGCGCCATCTGCGTCGAACTGCAGTAACGAACAGCCGATTGAAAAATCGCTGGCGTCACAGACCACATGAAATGGTCTGTCCTGATCTGCAATTTCCAAGATCGGATATTGCATCAAGATTTGCTTGATACCCTCAAAGGAACGCTGGCACTCAGCTTTCCATGACCACTTGACATTTTTCTTGAGCAAGCAAGAAAGATGAACAGTCATCTCGGCGTAGTTGCGCGAGTACTTGTGCAAGTACGCCGCTAGCCCAAGGAACTTCTTTAGTCCCTTGACATCGACTGGCACTGGCCAGTCGGTGATCGCCTTGATCTTTTCGGGATCAGGGCGTAAGCCGTGTTTACCCACGATGCACCCAAGAAGTGGTATTTCGCTAGCCGCGAATATACACTTCTTGAGGTTGGAGTACAACTTATACTTGCGCATAAGTTGAAGAACCTGAAAAACGTGAGTTCTGTGAACTTCAACGTCCGTCTTTCCGTCCATAGCCCGGCTATGGACGAACACATCGTCGAAGTAACTCGGTGCGAAGTCTCGCACCGGTCTCAACAGATTTGTAACACATCTGTTGAACGTTGCAGGGGCATTACTCAGCCCCTGTGGCATCACTAGCCACTCCCACAGCATCCCGCTGGGGGTACTCACTGCCGTGAACGGGACGTCCCGTTCACGCATCAGGATCTGATAGAATTCATCAATCAGATCCATGGACGAAAAGATGGTATTCTTTGACATACCATCTGTGGTGACGTCTTTCCTCGGTATCAGCGTCTGAGCCGGTACCGTTGCAGCTTTCAGCTTGTTGAACGCGTGCACTATCCGCCATCCTCCTGTGACCTTTCACACACAGAAGGTCGGAGAGCTGTGAGGAGGAGTTGATTCCCTCACATGGCCCGCAGCAAAGCGATCAACAAAGAACTTGTCGATAGCTATCACTTGTTCACGAGGCGGTGGCCACTGCTTCATGACACAGTACTTCGAGCCCGGTTTGAGCTCGATCTCGTGTCGAGTGCCTTTGTCCTCAGGCAACTCGCAAGTTACGGATTCAGGGAACACATCCCTGAATTCGATCAAATCCTTATACAAAGGATTTGCCTGAAGTGACTCCCAGGATTGAGACGTGTATCGCTCAATCCGAGTCTTCTCATCGAGGACACTTTCGTCCATCGATGAGCTGCTGAGAACCCGTTCGTTCTCAGCAAATACTGTGGCCGACCGAATATCGGCCACATACTCATCCTCTGTGACGAGAATGCAGATCTGCTTGACTTTGCCACTACGTAGATCACGCAAGAACCGTTTCGGTTCTAGCGTTGGCAACTGAGTTATCTCCGAAGTTGACTTCGGAGGCACAATCAGATCAAGCGTATAAGCGCCTACGCTTGATCCGCCATTGAACAAGACGTTCAACGTCTCGGTTACTTCCTGGGAACTTGCTTCCACAGGTTGCTGAGGGCCTAATCCATCAGCAAGTGACTCTTGAGGAATTCCTTCCTCAAGTCCGTGGGGACTTATTCCCTCGACGTCTTCTGACTGTGGCTGTGCAACCACAGTCAGGCACTGATCCTCTACGGTCGACTCTCCAGTCGACCTAGGATATCCATGTTGCCCTTTGGAGGCAACAGGTTTCTTTTGTCTAAGATGCTGCCCGCTAGGCATGCATACATGTTCCGGTCCACTCGACTTATTCGAGTGGTGAACCTTCGGCGCAGCCTGTACTTCTGTACAGCCGCCGGGGGCTTGCTCCACAGTGTAGTGATCAACTACACTGTGATCTTGTGCAGTCGTGCTAACGACCGTACCGCAAGTGAGCCATCGCACTCGCTCGCAGTACATCCACACGCTTGTGGACGCTCCAAGATGTTCATCGTATGGCCATCTGATGAACAAGCGGCAGGCATCTTCACGGATCGATGCTGCCAGCTCACTCTTGGCTCGTACTTTCTGAGCCAAGGTAATCCCAATATGACATCAAATTTGTCATCCAGATCGAGTACGATGAAGTCATCATCGTACTGCTCGCCCTCCAACGTGTAGTGGATTCCTACTACACATTTCTAAACGGTAATCGATGCGCCTGTTGCAAGGCGCACCGTCATCCTTGCGAGGGGAATGTCGCGCTCAACGAACTTGAGCCTACGACCCTCTAGTGACTGGCGACGAATAAAGTTGTTCGACGCCCCACAGTCTACTAGGGCACGAAGTGACAAATCATTTGTCGCTTCCAACTTCATGGTGATGAGCGAAACGTCATCACCAGGTGCAGAGACACACAATGATTGTGTATCTGGAGCAACTTTCGTCAAGAGATTTGCAAATTCTCTTGAGGTTGCTGGATCAGTAGGGCGCTCCGCCCCTACTGACCCCGACCATTTTTTGATGGTCCGTCTCGCTGTTGCGGCTTCGCAACAGCGCTGGACCCACGCCCATTGCCCTTTCTGGCAAATGGTCGTTCATTTCGCTCAGTACTGTTTGGTACTGGGAGTGGAGCACTACACTCGTATGCGTAGTGCCCTAACTTCTGACAGCGATTGCACCTCTGCAATCGCTTGTTGTTCGAAGAGCGAGGTCTCTCGCTATCAACATAGCAGAGGTCCATTGGTTCTGGGCCTCCGATCTCTGGTCGTCTTGGTGGACGATAAGAGTTTGAGCTAGCATGAGCCTGTCTCATGCTAAAGTCTTCCTGTTCCGCGGCTGATATCGCTTCTTCAAGCGTATTCAGCTCAAGGCGGAAAAGGTGGCTCCTGACGGGCCCCTCTGCGAGCCCTTGCATGAACACCGTTATCAACGTGTGTTCATGGACTGGGTTAGCAGTTATACTACTCGCGAGGAGTCGTATATGTTGAGCGTAATCGTGCACATCACGCTTACCCTGCTTGAGTTTCAGGAGCTCTGAACGAGCCCTGAACTCAGCCCGTGGCGGCTGAAACGTTTCTCTGAGCCGGGACTTGAAGTCATCTAGCGACCTAAACACATTTGGGTCGCTACTCTCGAGCCCCAGGGACCAAGTTTTGGCACGCCCTGCCAAGTGGGTCTGAGCAAATGTGAATTTTATTTGCTCATCTTCGACGCGACGAGCCCTTAGGGCTCTGTCGAGTTCGACAAACCATAGTAACAGGGAGTCTTCCGGGACTCCACTGTACTTGGAGATGTCAACTTTCATGACTTCGGGACGGCGCACATGCGCGCTGTCCCGCCCACAGCAGCATGGAATTGCTGCTATCTTAACAGCTCTGCCTGTTGAGCACCGAGTTCTCTCAACTGCTCGGCCTGTTGAGCGCCTTGCTGGTAAAGCAAGGCTACTTTCTTCCTCTCGAGAGCAAGTTCATTTTGAATGAACTTGGCGATAGCGGCATGTTGTTGGTCTCTGTCTAGAGACTCCAACATGGCGCTAATGGCGAACTCGCCTACGGTAGAACTCATTCGTTCTACCGCACCCCATTCGATGTCACTCAAATGGGTAAACCCTTCACGCGTGGCGTGAAAGGTGTCTTCTTCATCCAACATGTTCATGTTGGATGTTGTGGTCCTTGGAAGGACTACAAAGTGCTACCAGGTGTAACGGGGCACACCCTTGCGTGAACTTAACGCAAGGGTATCGGTGCCCCGACAGACGTACACAAGGCAAGCGAGGAAGCGTAGGTAAGGTAAAAGCAGAACTATCATATTAATATAATTAAGTCTTTTGACTACTGTCTCTCTGTTTGACTTAACTTAATTATGCTAATATAACTGAGTGTATGGTGACGTCTCGTCACCACTCATTGCGCGCGTCTTGCGGTGATTGGTGGGTTGATATCATCATGATATCAACCAATGAACAGACTCTTTGGTCGACCCTTCAATATCACCACTTTGGTGATATTGTTCAAAGAATGTTCAACTTAATATTCTTTATTGTCTCTTTCTTTAAAGTGACATTTCCATGTAACGGGCTGCCCCGTTACAGTGTACGTAACTTGCGATGTGTCAGTAGTACAAGCGTCTGGTGCCCCGTTTATAATTACCATCGACTGTGATATTCCATCAGTATTTTCTTAGCAAGGTATATATTGTGGATTACAATTTATTTTCGATAATGTGCCCATTGACCGAATTTAGTGTCGATTTTGCATAATGGGATCACCCCATAGCAGTTAGCAGCATTCGGCGTGTTGTTAAAAACTGGTAATCATCTATCACCTATCTCGGGATTATCGATAAATGTAAAAGTGTCATATTACCCTCAGAGGTAAAATTTTATCATATTACGCTTTAGATTCAATGGTTTTGACACTATTTGCTTAGACTGTGTATCAAGGATATTTTCAGGGAAGATTATGTTTGTATCGACATCTTGACTTTTGTTCACGACTAGAAACAGGCTCAGCCAATTTAAATTTATTCGACGAACGATAATTGTTCTATATGTGTGCATCAGTAAATGACGCAACAATACTACCGCGCTATTCTCTTAGCACTTCACCTTGACTATTGCAGGGACTGAGTCCGGCATCAGTCATGGGAATTTGTAAATCAAGCGCGGAAGAAAGCAGCAAAGCGAGTGCACGATAAGCCATTACTTACGGTGTGACGGCAGCAAAGCGAGTGCACGATGTGCCATTGCTTACGGTTAATTTAGCTTGTTCCGTCGGACCTTGAACCTGCTTCAAGAATTACCGGCGCAAGAATCCGATCTCCGTCCTGTTGTCGCACGGACTATATGCCCGGTCCGACAGTATAGTGCACCGAGTTTGTCGTATAAGACACGCTAAAGTCGACCACTTTTGTTTCGCTAGCACGTGTTCCGCGTTGGTCAATAATCGGGTGTCAGCACTGGAATATAGCACGTAAATGACCCAAACGCATCCGCAAGTATGGCGTGCAACACCATCGCTTTATTCTCCGTGACACAGCATAGCACCGAGAGCGTCGATTGGCCGTCCAGCAAAATTGCTTTGCTGAGCACTTTACTGTCGACTGTGACACTCGACGAGCGCTGTTGTCTTTGCCTCTCGTCTTCTTCTTCTTCTTTTCGATCCTCTTCCTCATTTGCACCCACCAGATCATCGCGATACCTCAAGTGTGCAAACAGTGTCTGCAGTGTAAGTGGATGAGTATCGATACGCAAGATGAGCGTTCCAGCGGCACTGGCTTCGACCGTCAACGTCTTGTGCATGACCTTTATGCGATCTACAATGGTGCGCAACGCTCTCAGCGGCGGCATCTCAATTGCAATCTGCGGTGCCGGTACACTTGGCTCTCTATACTGCTCCAGCGTACTCATGGCCACCACCTTGATGGGGATGCTCTGCACGATATCAATGTCCACGGCCCTCATCCTTAGGCACAAATAGTTGCTACCGTCTCGTTTCAAGAGCCGCAGCATCACGGCGCTGGCACCTTTACCAGAGTTCAGCGCTTGCTGAAGATGGCGCACGTCACATAGAAATCCAATGCGATTCTCGGCTCGAGACTGCACGACGACATCGTGAAAGAGCCGCGCCATCGGTAATCGTGAAAAGCTCTGGAGCTCCTCGGCGCCACCATTTTTGAGCGCGATTGAGAGTGTTTCGGGTGTTAAGTTGAATACGCAGTTGGTTGCTGTGCTGCTGGGAGAGCTTAGACGGGTGAGGGATTGCGCTACATCGAGCAGTACGGCTAGCGCGTCCTTGGTCAGGGTCCCGCGGAAGCGCATGAAAGCAGATATTCAGTAGGCTTTGTGAAAACGGGGTATGGCACACAAACATTGCTGACTAACAAAGTAAATGAGTTTTTGTCGACGGCGAAGATATACGTTAAACATATATTATTAAATATGATAGGACTTGGGGTGACAACTACAGATGTCGTGCCATGTACGACATAGATGGATCAAAGAAGAGCTGTGCAAAATTACCTGACGTCAGATAAATGTCCTATGCCTCGTGGAACCGACACCTGGACTCGTGAGACCGGTGCGAGACCAAGGTTACTGGCTGCGAAAATCAGGATCACTCGAGTAATTACAAAAGAACTAAGTTGACTGGTCGTTTGTCAAGGAAGACCTTCTCCATGCTCGGCATCGTCAATATGATGGACAGATCCGTAAACCTCACGTAATCCAGAAAGACCAGTCCTCTATCTTTGCGGCCTTGCGGGTTTCTCCACCCATCTCGCACGTATGCTACATAGAATAGGCACGAGAATCGTTGCATGCAATGACTCAGTACACCGAGGCATTTTGAGAACCTGGTGCTTAGAGGTCCCCGGTCCCCCATGCAGATTCCAAGAGACCTAAAGCGAGAACTTTCACATACGTGGCTCGGCCGAAATCGCTTTGTTCAATTAGTGCCACAAACACCACGTCAGTACAAGGGTCTGACTACTCTCCGTATCTCCCTTGAACGGCTAACATGCCGCGACAATATGTGCCTCCTGTTCTCCCTCACGTTGTAGACAAGACCTTGGATGGACGGCCTAAGCACGCCACTGCTAGTTTTGTTCGTGATTTCCGAGATGTCTGGAAAGTCGCATGCTGACGACCAGAAAAGTCTAAATCTAGGGATAGTTCAGTCGCCATTTCTAATAAAATGACTAGAAGCCCATCGTCGTCGTCTTCTACGATACCTCGAGATCCTGCGGTTGCGTCGCGCGCGAGCAAACGAAGCATTGAACAAGTCCACGATTGTCTACTTATTGGTAGCCTGGAGGAACTCGCGGCCAGAAAGAACGCGCCTGTCTCGCTCACAGTACGTGCACCCCTTTGTATTGATCGCAGCGGTTTTCCAACTGATGGTTTTTACGGATCCAGGATATTCGTGATGTATTACTAAAACAATTGCTGGGCGGTGAGCAGACGAATATCAAGCATACGGTACTTTTCGTGTGTGAAGAGGTGCCAGATTTGCGGCCGAAGGAGGTGGCCCGTCAGGCTACACTAAGCGGAGAGAAGGACGCAGCTGTGGCAGCGAACGTTGATTTGCTGGAAGGTCTAGAGAATGACTATCAATATCAGTGTCGGCTATCCGAAGGTGACAGTATTCCGCGGTGCGATGCCACGCTTCTCCGATTCCCTGTGTCGGAGCGTGACAAAGAGAAAGAGAAGCATGCGGCCAAGAAGGCTGTCAAGAAGAAGATTAAGAAATTCAAGAAAAGCTCAGGTGGTAAGTTGTGGGTGACGAAGTGGATATTTGTTACTTGCGTTGACGTATGTTTCGCAATTGCTTGCAGAGAGTGCCAAGCCGAGTGCGGAATTTTACGTGCTGTCACCAGATGAGCTGAGGGTGCATCTGCCGTCGGTCCCGTTTGAGGATGCTGGTGCCGCAGCTGAGTATGTCTCGACGAAGGCTCTGCTGGATGGCGAGACACGGTCTGACAAGCAACTTTTTCTTGCTCTTGACTGCGAGATGTGCCGTACGACAAAAGGCGTGGAGCTCACGCGCGTCACGCTGATTGACGCAAGCGAAAAGGTTTTGCTGGACGAGTACGTGCGACCTAAAAATCCCATTGTCGACTATTGCACGCAGTATTCCGGCATCACACGCGAGATCATGGAGGCTACCGATATCCGGCTAGCAGATATCCAGAAGAGGTTTTTGAGTCTTGTTCCTGCGGAGGCCATCTTGGTGGGTCACTCAATTGAGAATGACTTACTAGCTCTGAGAGTGTTGCACCGACGCGTTATCGATACAGCGTGCATGTATCCGCACCCGAGAGGGCCTCCGTTCCGTTCCGCATTGCGATTTTTGACGAGCCAATTTCTCAGCCGGGTGATTCAGACAAACACAGACGGTCATTGTAGTGTGGAGGACGCGGTAGCGACGCTGCAATTAGCACAACTCAAGATCAAGCGCGGACCTCTTTTTCCACGTATCGAGCACGAATACAAGCAAAAGAAGGTTGTGCATGAAATGGCCCAGGCCAAAAAGTCGGTCCTCATTGTGGACTCGCAGCGGTCTTGTAGATCGCTGAGTGGCGGTGTTGCCTGCATCATACCGCGCGAAGATTCTCGCGAGGTTATCCAGGCAGTCGTACATCAACTTACTACTGGCTTTCCACCGCACCTTACGTGGGCACGCGTGCGTGAAGTCAAGCGCTCGGAGATCGTGAAGTATGTCTTGGAGATTAAGGCGAATTTGCCCAAGCACTCGTGCCTTGTAACGGTGATTTGCGGAGATACCAGCGACTTACGCGCGCTCCATAAATGTCGAACAGCGCGGATTGATCCACGAAGCTCGCTAATGTGGGATAAGGAGCAGCAAGATCGTTTGAATGCGACGGCGTTGGCAACTCAGACAGGAATTGTACATGTCTACTTGCAGTGATGCCACTGTCACATGCTCTTATCGTGATGGCGACGAATCAACTTCAAACGGCCGTTTCTAGATTGCAATACAAGCTCGAAGATCGGTACCGACACATACACTCGGAGTTTGGCTGCAGATTATAATGGGCAAAAGCATCACGCTAAATAGCGACGACACCTCTATGATCGAGCTGTCATGCAATTGATTCAATCAGCTATGAAAAACAAGACATTCGGTAAATAATGCCTCCTTGACTGTCGTTGCTCCAATTGTATGTATAGTTCGCAATTTGCAACTACAAAAGCAAATCGATTACCATCAATCTGTCTAAAGTAACCCATACACTCGTAATTGAACAATGCAGACGTACAGCGGTAGGTTGGTGACTTTCGAATTGCTACAGGACAGTAGGTACAGAAGCGACCCATTGTGCAAGTAAGTAGCCGTGCTTCGGTGAGATTCGACTCGGCCGTTTGTGCCTGTTTCGGCCTGCACTATCCGGACTGAAATGTCATGAGTGCGGTGAGGCGAGCCTGTTACATGTCATTGACCTCAGCAATTGCAATACGAATATCGTATTTGCTAATATTGTTCGTGTGTTAAATTTTATTTGTGATTTAAGTAAACATTGCAAATTGGTAGATACATGCCACTGTATCAAACAACACAGTGCCCTATCATGATGGACGTGCGCAATGGACGGTGAGGAGATAATTACAGCCCATGTTTGTATTCAGATGCAGTCGTCAACAATTCAAGCAAATTTTATTGATATGGCTGAACTATGTGTCGTCACGGTTCTCTTCGTACCTAGACTTGCGTGTTCTTGTGAGTCTATATGCTTCCTCTGTACCTCGTGTACGATGACTTCGAGGCATCTACGTACGTTGTTGTCAGTCAATGCTGTTTGTAGTAGAAGCGTGGGTGCTCTGTTACAACAAAGATCTGTGAGTCGGCAGGTCACCTAATTTACCTGTGTGCGTAAATCATGCGTGCCAAACGGTTACAGGCATGGCCTCGTGTGATTTGTAATGCACGAGGCACAATATAGGATATCCGTGCAATTTGACTGGACAAGAGGTCATTCCGCAACGCAAACCTCACCACCTTGACGAATTGGCGACCTCAGTGATATTTGCTGGTAAGGAGCATAGTACGATGAAGATTTGATCTTGACCTCGCGCCATATAATGCCATAACTCGATGATATTTCTGCCATGATGCTAACTTCGATTTCAGACAGGTTGACGGTAGAGCCAACGTCTTAACCATACTTTGCGGTGCTTTACAACACTATTTCTGGGCAAAATCTATCTCCCCGCGTGTAACATGAAGGTAAGACGTTTTCTCTGACATGTCTGTCACGCACAATGGAAGCCGTCCTTGATGGTGCCTAAGCGTTGACCCACTGGTCATCACGCAGGCGTTTGGTTCAGATCGTTGTGAATGCATGTGAACACCGGAACTTCTTCTTTAAAAAGGAAGAGGAAATAACTTTAAGCTATGATACACACTCATTCGATGTGAGCCCGGTTCTAATCACAGTTCCTGCGAGCATTAGTACTTCGTATATAGAAGGAAGCGATGTGGTCTGCATTTGCGCGAATCGTAAAATTGTTCGTGGGTCGTTTCTTCGGTATCTACGCATGCCTGCCCCTGCCCCTGCTGTGCTAGTCATCACTACTATTGCGGTGTAATATGAGAAGAATTCAGCGAATCCGAAATTTTCGTCCTAGTCGTCTCAGCGTAAACAAGTATGACTCCCTCATGATGTGCGAACGAAAATTCCCAGATGGAAAATTCGTACTTATGGTCAGACATGTTGGCAGGAAAGGTAAAGCAATTATTCCAAACCTATATGATATCCTCGTGATCATCTGCAAAGTAACTTGTCATCACTCAAGTTGATCCACCTCACAGCGCTTGGCAATACCCATGTCGAAGCTGAACGTCCACAATGGGTCGTGCTAAATCGGAACTTGTGAACCAAGAACCGGCTGGTAAAATGACAATCCAGCAAGGCTGTAACGGGGCAATGATTGCTACGTAGTCGACTACCAGTGTGGATATAATTTTCACTGACAACAGTGAAGGTCAGTGACTTGCTACCTCTATACACTGCACAGAGAAAGGGTGAACGACTAAGACAAAAAAAGACTTTGGTCGTCGTAAGAGTAAAACTGTTTAGGAATATAGATAAGTCCAACATCTCTTGTTGTCGGATTTGTCCTAACTTAATTGTATTAATATAGCCAAATGTATGATGAATCCTGCTCGCCACCATTGCGCGCGTCTAGCAGCTATCGGTGGGTTGACATAAACACAATATCGACCCAACAACCAATGAGTAGACCCTTGATCCATCTCAACAATTTCACTGGATTTAGTGATATCCTTTGAAGGAAAATCAACATCATAATCTTTAGGCCACGACAGGGGCACACCCCGCTTTTGCTAGTGGCACACCCCATTTTTGCTACAGGCACACCTTGCCGCCTAAAATGATAAAAAGTGCTTCACAATTTATAGTGCAGAATAATATGTAAAACACGCAGGCACCTACTACTGCTTCCGATCTCCCAATCTTATACGACAGACCCACTCTTGTGCGAGATTCTATTAATCCATCGTGCCCAGGGCTGTATCCAAACGAGCAATGGCTGCTGAATTCTCTACTGTCTTCAACACGGTTTCCAATTCGATGAAATGATGCCGAGTGACCTGGCCATCGGCAGTGGAAACGACTCGTTTTTATCGACGTTTGTAACCGAGACAGGCACGGGCAAACACATACGGCTTGCGGTATGTGTAGACTTTATGGCCACGGTGTATGACGAGGTACGTACCGGTACATACCGTACAAATGTCCCACTTTGGGCAGATCATTTCGGCTAGGAAGATGAAAAAAACAATCATGCCCGAAGTTTTTCATCAAAATGCTGGAATCCCGTCGCTTCCTTTCACCTTCACTGAGTTTATGACTGTTATATAGGTCCCGCCACAATCTCACTTGAAGTAGACCAGTTGCAGACCCCGCTTCATTTTCTTAATCAGGCGACGACGATGGCATACCCTTGATAGCCGCAAAACCGTTTAAAATTGTTTCCCTTTCGCATCTGGAAAGAAAACTAATACCATTGAGAGCGGCAGGTGGGGGGTAAAGCTATTCCGGCGACAAATGTCCCTCTCTCGGGCTTTCGTACGCCATTTTATGAGTTTAGCTGGTGTGTGTGTTGTTATCCAGTGATTTCAGTCGTATTGTGTGAGTATGAGTATGGAGGGACATAGACGCAATTGCGCGGTCAAGACAGGTGTTAAAGGCATGTTCTTCTTCCTTTTCAGTAGATGAAATTACGTCCTAAACCGCCAGATACCGGACCAAACACTACCAGCAATTCGGGTAAGTACTTCTACATACAATTGTAATGTGCCGTACGCACACATTATTCTGCACTATAAAATGTGAAGTACTTTTTATCATTTCAGGCGGGCGGGTATGCCCGTAGCAAAAATGGGGTGTGTTCCTAGCAAAAGTAAGGTGTGCCCCTTGTCGTGGCCTATTCTTTACTACCAATTTTCACAATGCTTAATTCATGTAACGGGATACCCCTTACAAAGGCCACCGCAGACCCTTACCTTACCACCACATACAAGAAAGCACGTAGGCCATCTAGTTATTCCCCATCGTGATTGACCTTTGTAGTTGTGTGCTATCGATACTGTTCGCGACAGGCAAGATGATACTATATAAATCAACATCGTACATACATATCGACATCTTAACTCCGGGATATAAACACAAATATATAGTTATAAGGATACACCGACGTTCGACTTTATTTCGCACGACACAGCGTTGTTGCATTTTGCCCTAGTTAGTCGAATTGATGTCGTCAGCCAATCATAATGACAACCGGATCTTACATCTTTGGCATGGTCTATGCTCTGCACCCTGAGATAGCTCTTCACGACGCTATTAGCTTCACCTTTTGTGAGGTAATGTTATGTGACGTGGAACGTATGAGGCATTATAGGTAACATCGGAATATGTATCCATATCACCATGCTTTGACGCGGGTATATGCTAACTTCTTACTTAGCGTCCCATCTACTCAAGTCCTTCGTTAACGAATCAATGTCCAAGTATTTATCATACTAGTTGGTCGCAAATTAGGTGTTTGTTATCAAAAAGTAATCGAATCTCCAGTACAGTTTTAAAATGGAGTGGCGCGAGTGGATCTTGTTTTAGTCATAGTAGGGAAGCCGCCATGATGTCATGAGCCTGTCCCGCAACATTATTAGTTCGATATAGCGGCGCATCAACATTGGGAAGGGATTCCGATAATTGACGATGGGATGTAGATATATAGAAGTAAATTGTAACAGGGTGAGCGTCTTATATGATATTGGCACCAATTGTTTCAATGTAAATACTATCTTAACTGATAGAAACTAATAAATATCGCTCTTGCGAGTCAAAATTGGTAGCACATTATTTTCATTTAGGTTCTCTTCGGCACCGCTTCACAATTGGTGAATAAAGGTAATCATATCAATCGCAGAAAATAAAAATTGCTACTAGACGTACGCAGTGGGCGGTGAAGGAAATTGTACATTAAAGTGAAGTAGTTTAGAATGAAGTATGTAAGATAAAAACGTTCTATCTAATCGTCTTCAATACATTCAATATACCGATTTTCATTCTTCTTCTTTTTAGCAATACTTGCTAACTTTCTCTGCACGAATGATACAACTGAACGTTTAGGAGCGCAAGACCTTGTACTGTATCTGTACAATAGATTACCAATCATCTAATATGAAGTGTATTCCATTACACCTGGTAGCACATTGTGTTCCGTCAATGGTCACTATCGTTCATCTCAATACAAAATATTAAATTAGGGAGAAAGATCACGCGCCAAGCGTGAACGATACCCATTTAAACGATCTCGAGTAGATTCACCTTTGATCAAATTAGCTCCTCCATTAGTGACATCGCCAGTAGAGACATATCGGGT